CCCTCTCTACGGCACAGATCTCTGCTGCAGCAGTCTGGTAGCTCGGCCTCCACGTTCCTCTCGGCCACGCTCAAGTTGTCTCAGCGACTCGGAACGACATCGGCAGCACTGGTCCACCGCCTATAGAACACGATTGATCGCCATGAACGACAGCGAGGACAAGGGCACCTCGCCATACCGCTGGGCAAGCTGCCCAGCGGGATTGCAGGTTTTGCTCCTCATGGTTGCCCTGCAGCAGTCAGGAACGTTAGCCGAAACCCCTGCACATCACTTGGTTCCTGGGTCACTTCCCAGCCGTAGTACAGAAACTATAGCGCCTGGAGGACGTCGCTTAATTCTCCGGACCAGATGTATAGCTGAGAGCCGTCGGTCCTTGACCGCTGCGCTGTCTCGACCGTCAACGTGTGCACCGTGACACGCATCGTTCGCACGCAAACTTCGTTTTCCTTTTTATCGGCCCTGCACGACGACCACGTATTTGTTTTTAGCACGCCTCTCTTATGCATGCCTCTATCCTGACATCCACTCATTAGGCACCATTACAAATTTTAGTTAACCATGTGGAGATAAATTTGCTAACAGCTTAATATACAAAGGGACCGGGAAGAGACGCGCAATCTCCACTGCCGTCGCGCACCAACACGCAACGGCCGGGTTTGCTGACTCTCTGACACAACGCAGAGCAGGCACCCGAGGCAGGTCGTCAACAAATACGTGTTTATTTACCTAAAATACAACACAGTGTGGCAATCACGAGCTTGCGTCGAGCAGGGAACTTCGCAAGACCGATGGATGGCATTTGTTTTTTCAAAGAGGCATTTGTTTTTTCAAAGAGGGCCCACTAGGTTTGGCGAACGTGAGCTATGGCTGCCTGCTAAAATGGAAGATGTTCTGAGGTAGTGTGTGCTCTTGCTAGTTGTTGCGCAGACAGCATCTTGCCAGTTATCAGTGCGTCTCTCCGCCTGCTCAGTTCTTCCGAATTGAAGATGTTCTTCAATTGCTATTGAAGAACATAGTCTTCAACGTGCTATTAACGGCAGCACACGAGCGGTGCAACACAGCTTGTCTGTGGGAGGGAGGTCCGTTCCCACTTGGCTTCAAAGGAGCGAACGCGCCAAAACTCACCAAAATTTTCCCCATTTTGTGCCGGGAGGCCAAAGCACGGCACGAGGCCGAGGTGAAAAAATTGGTCCAAGTCTAAGACCAATTTTTTCGCCACATGATAGGAGATTGCTTCTTGCTTCACTGGTTTAGCTACATCAGCAGCACTAGCTCTCAAACCACGTGATCTAAACAAGCAGCCGAAAATTCAACGTGGCTTGCGCTGGTGCAGTTGCGAACTATCTGCGCAGCACGCAATGCTCCTGGCATCGACAAGGACGTCTTCATCGAAAGTCTGGTTTGGATTACTATCGCTGTGAACACCGGAAGCTGAAAAAGGTGCAGCAGGGAGATGGCATGCCCTAAAGGGGTGAATCCACCAAATTTCGAAGCTATCCCAAGCCTGCTGTGGGTTTCCTCTGTATGCAAAGACTCTCCACACGAAAGATCGGACATAACAAACGCGTAGAATATATTTTAATTCTCTTTTAAAAGTGTAACTGAATACCCACTTTCACGATCTAGACCCATCGCTTGCGCAGCAACACTGAGGTTTCAGAATAGGAGAAGCAATGGCAGTTGTCTTGACGTCACACCACATCTGTAGTGACGAGTGCGATGGCATCTCTTTCAGAGAAATTGTGTGCGTCTGTCAAGGACACTGGGTGCTTTCGAAGAGACACTCGACGCGTCCTTGTCTGTCAAAGACGCCGCGCGCGTCCAACATTGGGGCTGCATCTATCGTCAGCTGGCTTCCTCGTCCATGTTCTGTACATACGTTGTAAATATAAACGCTTTGTTTCTTCCTGGTTGCCTTGTGCCTTGCAGCTGCCTGGATGCTACTGCAGCTGGCCATGGCGACTGTCAGCATGCTTGTTTTGCTGGCGCATGTGTGGCACGTGCATATGAGAGCAGACAAAACTCAGGACGATGTGTGTCACAGCTTTATGTGGTCACATGACCAAGCCACCTACGCATCAATGTCACTGCCTAACTCGGTGCCGCGAAACCGAAACCGAAAATGGTCCACAAAAGTAGAGCAATATTAAACTATTTAGCGAAAATACAGAAATCTTGGTGCATGGTTCATGCTTCCTGGAGCTGAAAAGAATGCTTACAGCAAAGAACGCGCATTCCACAAATTTGGTTGGTGTCACCACCCCTTTAATGTGACTCTCGTTTGGACTGCTGGCAGAATACGTCGCTGCAGCTGCTGGTTCGTCTGCTTGTGTTGTTTCTTCTCGCGTATCTCGCGAAGCAACATTGTAAATGTGTAAACTGTTTCTTTTCAGTGCTTTACATACATAACTAGAACTTGTTACGAGTTTTAATGCTCAAAAAATGGGCAATATTGAAATAATTTTCTGGCGGAAAAGACAGCGCCAGTCGAATGCAAACGTTTTCTACAGGCGCGGACATGTTTTGCGGCTGCCCTGGCACTTTCGCTTAAATTTTTTAGTGTGAATTCTCGAGGACTGATTTTTCTTTAGTCGACTTTGCAGCGCATTTTTCAGGCCACTTAAGGGGGGACACTGTACTTGAGACGAAGTGCCATATATTTTCATGTGTTTATAAAGAAAATTCAAAGTGTGCTTGAGTTTTTGATGCTGATTTCAAAAATGTAATTACTGTTTGTCTGAATCAATTAGTTGTTGAGATATCCTAAAATTACCTATTGTTTGCCCGTATAATTACACAAAAAACTTGTATTGCAGGGCAACTATTTTCACATGCCTGTGTACTAATGAACATAAGCTACACAAAGGTAGGAGTGCTTTCTTGATTTCATAATTTTAGCAAGGTTTGTCGCTCTTAGCATTTCAGTGTTGCAGACACACCCACTTTATGCTCCAATTTCTGGCAAAATTTTGAAGATCTCAATAAAAAATTCACACCTACCATTGTTTAAGCTAAAGATACAGCTACAGGTCGCAACAAAAATGACAGTCCTAGCTGCTGTAGAGGCAGAGATATCTCTCTGACAAGTATGCAACTGCAGCGAAATTTGAATCCTGAGAAATCATGCAAAAACACAAGTCCATTCTGGGCAGTCAGTAGCATTGAAAAGCTGTTTATTTACAATGATTTGCAAATTCAGCTTTCTCAGATGGCACCAGGCATCTTCCTTCTGTTTTGCGTTACCTAAATGGCGTTTTTTTCAATGCCTGCTGCATGTTTTCCGCAGAGGCACGCTTGCGAGCTGATGCGGTCGCCGTGTGCTCGTCTGCCGACTAGGCCGCTTATCAGTTCAGTGACGCCTATGTGTGACGAATGTGTGCGCGTCATCCGCGATCCGTCGTATGATAAAGCTGTTCCGTTTGTTCAGATTGAATTGTTGATGTCGCAGACCGAACTCGTGCACTTGGTCATCAATTTCAAGGCTCCAAGCGCAGCGAGGTGTTAGTTTCCTTTTCACGTGAAGATTGCCACATTTTCGAGTGGAGGCCACGGTGCAATATGTTCATCGTTGCAGATGCGTCGTTTAAGCTCTCTTCCTTAGTTTCCTTTCCACGTGAAGATTGCCACATTTTCGAGTGGAGGCCACGGTGCAATATGTTCATCGTTGCGGATGCGTCGTTACAAGCTCTCTTCCTGTTGCCTTGCAGCCTTCATTGCGCGGGCGGCGAGCACATTAACCGTAAATGAATTGATTTTCTGTTGTTTGTCGATGCGCGGCGAACTCCACTCTGACGACCCGTCATGCAGTTCACGTCAGACGGGGGAAAGCCGCGGCATCTGCGCATTTAGCGATAAGACTGCGCTTTCGTTCCATAGTTGCAAAGTTTGCTATCTCTCGTAGCTTCACTTCTGCTTTTTTACTTGCCATCCTGTAACTGTTAAGGCTCAAAAACACTGCCGCTTTCAGCAACGTTGTTGACAACATACGGGCTCGTACGTGAGTTAGGCCTACACCGGTGACTCGGCGACCGCCGTTGATCGGCGCGAGTTTGCCATCCTCCCTGTTCTGAGTGATAGCGGGGCTCTTTCTGAAGTTCACAGCGAACGAACGATCGCCACACCCGCTTCACAAATTAGTGCGGCGACGAACTTCCTTACTGCGGCAGGCAGTCGACAGCACCATGATAAATTGGTGCATGTTGTTGCACATCATGACAAGAAGCAGACGCCGGAAATGCCACTTGGTCAATCGGGTGCCCAGGTTTTGTCACGTGCCCCAAGCAGCCAATAGAATCGCGCGGTAGTGCTTCTTAATGACTCGTTTTTGCTGAAAAACTAATGAGCAAGGCGAGCCACTGGTGTCGGGAAATCGAAGATGAAGAACGACCCTTCCAAACGTGACCAAGATAACCACGATAACTCGGGTGTAACAGCAACGGTTCGGCGTAGAAAAAGCGCGACTTGAGAGTCTATTTGTGCTCAGATTCATCTCACAGGGGTGTTATAAATTGATTTTGTGCTAGAAATAATGATGCGAGAAGCTAGAAACTTCTCAGAAAAGTGCAAAAGTAGTTGCAGATTCCGAAAATGTCAACTTCAAAAAGTCGGTTTTTTTCGCGATTTTCGGCCTTTCAAGACCCATGTCTCCCCTTAAGCAGCAAAGCGAGTGAATTTTCAATAAGTTTTGCCACTTTCGCTCTGTTTGATGCCAAGTGTGAGCCCGCCTTAACCGCAGGCAGGACAAGTGAGGGAGCCGTGGCACTTTATTATGAGAGGCAGTGAAAGCAGGAAAGTTGAAAACAACATCATGGACTTCTTTTCAGCAAGAAGCGGTTGACCCAAATTAAGTTGTTTTTGGTTCATACAAATTCCGGATGACACAAATATCTTGCACGCTCCCTTCGAGTTCATATGATAGAGATTTTACTGTACTTTTATTTTTTGAATTGTGTTAAATGTATAGCATACATATTACACATGCCCTCATTCTTCACTTCCAGGTTCCCCGAGTGGTGCGAACGCTGTGGGATGCACTGCTCGAGCTGGACGACCTGACCTCCTCGACGAGCAGCATTCTCATGCTTTTGGCTGCACTTCTGTCACACTCCACTTCAGTTCATCCCATTCAAGGGTAACCACCCTCATGTCCCTTCGCTGTTGCTGACGTACCTTCTTCACACAAATGTGTAGAAAAAGCTGACTTAAGTGCAATTCCATCATTAAAACAGCTGAACTCTTTCATTACCACGCCTACTAAAATAGATCGCTGGTGATCGATGCTTTGCATCGTCGATTTTTGGCATGTTGAATTTGTTTATCGTGCAGCCAGCACTTTCTAGTAGTTAGCCCAGCCACTCAGCCCCGCAGTGGTGGTCTAGTGGCTAAGGTACTCGGCTGCTGACCCTCCGGTCGCGGGATGGAATCCCGGCTGCGGCGGCTGCATTTCTGATGGAGGCGAAAATGTTGTGGGCCCGTGTGCTCAGGTTCGTGTGCACGTTAAAGAACCCCAGGTGGTTGAAATTTCTGGAGCCCTCCACTACGGTGTCTCTCATAATCATATGGGGGTTTTGGGACGTTAAACCCCACAAATCAATCAGGCCCAGCAACTCAGCTTTCAAAATTGATTTTAATTTGTCCATTTTGGCAACACAGTGCTTTTTGGCAGACGTTTGCGCGAGCAATGTTCGTGTGTTGTTGGAAATATGCACTAGGCTGGCAAACTTGACAAAAGTGTGTGCCCCTCGTGGTTATGTTACAGTAACATCAAAGTTCTGTATTTAAAAGAAGCTTTGCAAGTCGAATATAGATTAAGGTGTCAGGTTCCCAACCTGACAGTGTTTAGCAGTAATTTTTGCCAGATATTTATGCCAGCTATTCAATTGAGAGCTCTTGCGAGGAGTCGTGGAAAATTCATTCTATAGAAAAGTATTTTTGAAGTTCCGCGGCATGTATAAAGTGTGGAGGAAGCTTTTTTAGCCAGTTTCCAGCAGCTTTGGTTTCGCTTGCATTGTTATATCGTACACAGGACCGCACCTAGTGTCACTAGTATCTCCTTGGCACCGTTGTCACGCATGCACATTTGTGCACCTGTGCTGCAAAAAACATGCGCCGCTCGAAACTGTCTTGCAACTGCAGCTGCATTGAGTAAGGACGAGCTTAGAGTCTGAGGATGACAGCTCCTCAGGTTCAAGATTTATGGCGACGGTGTTTTTCGTCAGCCTGGGACATTTGCAGCCGTTCATGGGTGTGTTTTGTTTACAGCTTGAAATTGTCTCCTCCGCAGCAAATGCGTAGCTGCTAACCTTTGGGCACAATCTTAGAGCTACTCTGGTTACGTGCGAGGGCTACATATCGCTGGGGTATGGTGTACTGGCACCGGCTGCAGAGATTCTCTTCAGGACAAGACGTCTACCGGAGCACATCTTGGTCCTGACTGCGGAGCAGTGTGAAACGTTTTATGGCTGCGCGTTATACCATTCTTTTTTTTTTCTTTTTAATACAATGTGCAAAAATGCGAAATATGTTTGGACAAATAAATTGGAATGCCAGCCTATGCAGAGTGAGGTGGGTGGGAGAAAGAGAGGATGCTAGACGAAATAGCGAAGTTCATTGGACATCTGATTTATAGAGGGATTATTCACATCACGGGCATCTATCTATATTGGAACACCTGCTCGCATGGCACACAGAAAAAATTTACTGAGAAAAAAGCACAAGTTCACTTGTGTCTCATGAAGAAGCAAGCAATGTATCACCGCAAGGCAAGAGCAATGAAGCGGCACTTCGGTTCTGATTTTCTTTGTCTATGTGAATAAAAACATTTTGTACAACATTGTTATTTTTATACACTTCCTGTGTCATTTATCTGAAAATAGTATATTGATAAGAAGTGTCACTACTAGGAAAAACAAGGGAAGCGCGGGTAAAGAAGGAAGACGACGTTGCTTCTACTGCGATCCCCCTGAGTGGGTACGAGCCATGGCTGTGGAATGATCATCATCATAATACTGTGATCGCGGACTCAGGGCCTATTAAAAACCCTCCTTAAGTTACCTTGCCTTGCGTAATAATTTGGTGGAAGGTGCTGGGTAGGACGAACCCAAAGACGGGAGCTGCACTACCAGGACTTCGTCACAGCCGCCGCCTCGCCGAACTTCCACCTTCGCCGATCGTAATGGCCCAAGAGCAGCCATCTAACGCTTCGGGGCCAACTCTGATGGGTTCCGTGCCGTACTACAGAGTGCCACCAAACTTTGGCGGGACCTCGGGAGAAGACGCCGATGTGTGGCTCAAGAACTACAAGTGGGTGAGCAAAAGCAACGGCTGGGACTCGAACGAACAGCTCAATCATGTTGTATTCTCGTTAACTGACACCGCCCTCATGGGGTACGAGAACCAAGAGGACATGTCAACGGCTTGGGAACGTTTTGTTGAAGAAGTGCAGAAGTGCTTCGAGGATTCGGACGCAAAGAAGAAACGCGCGGAGCAGACATTGTCTCAGAGGGCACAGCTTCCAGGAGAAACATGTACGACGTACATTGAAAAAATCTTGAAGCTGTGCAAGATTGTGAATGCAAGGATGTCTGAAGAAGACAAGGTTGGACACATTCTTATGGATATAGCCGAAGATGTGTACAATTTCTTAATTGGGAAAGACTGCTTAACTCCGTGTCCGACGTGATGAAGCACTGTAGTACCTTTGAATCCCTCAAGATGTGACGAATTTCTCCGAAATTCGGCCGCCTGTCCAACGTCCCCACTGTGGCTAGTGTTGAAACAGTGCCGCCTAACGACCTTGCTTTGACCATACGGCAGATCGTCAGAGAAGAGCTGTTTCGATGTCAGCAGACCTATCATCGCCCCAGCGATTTTCATGATGTGTACGTAAACGAACCAGAACGTGTGCGGACTCCTGTTTCTCTTCCACCATGGCAACCATCGATCAACGCAGCAGACGCTTATGAATATCAAGCCACACGGCAGGCTGGTTTCCCCCGTCAACCAACTGCCAACTACAAACGAAGTTTTCGCCCACCTGTTTACGCAACATCGCCTCCCTACAGTGCCCCTGAAGGGCGGCACCACTATCCCATGCCTTCCGAGAGGAGTCGTTACTCTGCGCTGCCACGTGCCCTTCGATCAATTCTGGTATGCTACAACTGTGGCGTCCCGGGATATAATGCACGTTTTTGTGATCACCGCCCATATCAGCGATAATCTTGGCACATGCCTCACCAATCTTTCGACCATCCGCACTCCACGTCACGGAAACCACGCGCACCTGCCGGGTCACGCTACCCCTCGCCGGCCTCTGATCGAAGTTCGACGCCACCACCAGCTAGCTCCCCGTGCTCCACCATCGCCATCGTCACGGCGACGTGCACGTACACCGCCGCTCGAAAACTAGTTGGCGCGGCCAGTGGGGATGAGGCCGCGAGATCACAGATGCTATCTACAGATATACCCCCGTCAGCGTTGATGTTGAAAAACAAAGTTCATGTAGTTGTCGATGGAGTGGCTACTATGGCACTTGTGGATACAGGCGCGACATTCTCGGCGATGTGTGAAAATTTTAAGAACCTGCTAGGACCAAAAGTGATGTTTTGCCTGAACCACGGGGTGATATTTCGGGGTGTAAGTGGTGACGTGTTGTGTCCGGTGGGATATTGTACTGTGGACGTCTCGCTGTGTGGCAGAGTGGTTTGCACCGAGTTTGCGGTTATTCTGCGGTCTACACATGGTCTTATCTTGGTTATCGACTTCTTGTGTGAGTGTGGCACAACTGTAGACTGCAGAAGTGGGCACCTTTCTATACATGGTACTTTCCCAACGACGCTCTTGGAAAATTCCTGTCTGGAGAAATGCATCTTTTTCATCTCCGTGGACACAGTCGTTCCTGCATTTTCTGCTGTGTGTGTTCTCGTGACATGTTCCAGTAACAACTGTGGCACGTACGATGCCACGCTCGAACCGATTCCCTTGGCATGCTTGAAAAAGAACATCCTCATTCTTCATTGTATAGCGTCAGACGTTGATGGACGAGCAGGTGTGTAAACAATGAACAGTTTCATGGAGCCTGCAGTTCTGACAGGTGGCATGAAACTTGCAGTATTTAGACCCGAGTCATCTACGACGTTGGTTGCGCTTGTTGATGCTACAAGCCAAAACGAACATCTAGGCTTAGAAGGTTCAGAGGATGCCCAATCGCTACAAATGGTCAGCAAGTCACTTGACCAAAAGGAACGTCATACACTGCTCGACGTTATATCTAAGCCCTGGAAAGTGTTAGATTTTTCTAAAAACAGCCAAAGTCCCTTAATCCCAGCGTCCCGGATACGTCGTCAGATCCAAACCGAGTCGGCGCATCCCATTAGGCAGAAACCTTATCGAGTGGCACCATTAGAGCGCAAGATCAGCAACGAGCAAGTCCAAGAAATGCTGGAAAAGCAAATAGTACAGGAATCGGAAAGTCCGTGGGCTGATCCCGCCATTCTTGTTAGGAAGAAGGATGGTACGTGGAGATTTTGCGTTGACTACCACTGACTGAATTCTGTTACCAAGACAGACATCTATCCACTGCTGTGCATCGATGATGCTCTAGGCTGCCTGCATTCCGCGTCCTACTTTTCATCTGCTGACCTGAGATCAGGCTACTGGCAAATTCCGATGCACGCAGCTGACAAAGAAAAGACTGCATTCGTTACGACCGACAGACTTTACGAGTTCAACGTTATGCCATTCGGAATATGTAATGCTCCTGCAACATTCGAAAGTTTTTTGGACTCTAAATTGCGTGGTTTAAAATGACATATATGCATGTTTCTAGACCTCGTGCTCAACTGCATTGAAAAAGCTGGCCTTGTATTGAATTCAAAAAAGTGCCTCTTTGGCGAGCGACAGACATTGGTGCTGGAACATCTCGTCGACAAGGATGGCATAAGACCTGACCCACAAAAGGCAGCGGCCGTTGAATCGTTCGAGCGTCCTAAATCTGTGAAACCACTGCGTAGCTTCATCGGGCTCTGCTCGCATTTCCGCTGGTGGGTACCCAAGTTTGCGGATGCCGTTCACCCCCTGACGCAAGAACAGCCCGTTTCAGTGAACCTCCAAGTGTGCTGCCGCTTTTCACCAGCTGAAGTGTTTGTTAACTTCGCAGCCAATACTTCGGCACTTCAATCCTTCGTCGCCCACGAAAATTCATGCAGATGCAAGTGGCATCGGTATCGGTGCCATTCTCGTTCTGCGATGTGGCAAGAAGGAACATGTTGTGCCGTATGCAAGTCGTTCTTTACGCAAGCCTGAATGCAACTACATAGTGACCGAGCAGGAATGCCTAGCGGTAGTCTTTGCCGTGCAACGGTTTCGCTCATACATCTATGGTTGCCTGTTCACTATCGTCACTGATCACCATTCCCTTTGTTGGCTGGTCAACCTTCGTGACCCATCCGGCCACCTCGCACGATGGGCCATTCGTTTGCAAGAATATGTCTTCAGCATTTCATACAAGACTGGCCGTGTACACGCTGATGCGGATTGCCTCTCCAGGATGCCGCTACCGACGACAGATTGTGAAGCCGATAATTTTGACCACCTTAACGCTTCTCTGTCGTCTGGCTTTCCCGATGCCGTGACTTTCGCCGCTGAGCAGCGTAATGACCCAAGCTTGAAAGCTCTCTTCCCTGGAGCAAGAAAGTCATTAAGCGAAGGTCGATTCTGCGTCCCAAATGTTCTTCTTTACCAGAGAAACTTGTCCACAATGGGCGTCCGCTTTCTGCTGGTTGTTCCTGCATCCCTCCAAATGCCTGTTCTGCGTCTCACACATGATGACCCCACCTCTGGCCATCTAGGAACCGCGCGAACACTTAGTCGCATGAAAGAGCGGTTCTATTGGCCGAAAATGAGCAAGACATTTCAAAACTATGTGGCCAGCTGTGCGCAGTGCCAGAGCCACAAGCGGCCCACCTCGGGTCCAGTTGGTCACCTGCAACCCATAAAGCCTCCCGGTTCCCCTTTTGGAAAGGTCAGCATTGATCTGATGGGACCAGTTCCACGCTCCTTAAAAGGTAACCTGTGGATAATTGTATGCGCCGACTTTCTGACGCGGTACTGCGAGACGGCTGCCTTATCCTCCGCCACGGCAGTCCAGGTTTCGTCCAGGTTGCATTCAGTCATCCTCCGACACGGGCCACTTCACGTGATAATAAGTGACCATGGACGACAATTTACCGCTGATATTGTCGAATCATTGCTTCGTTTGTGTGCCTCAGTGTTCTGACACTCAATTGCGTATCATCCACAAACTAACGGCCTCACCGAGCGCACAAACCGTACGTTCATCAACATGTTGTCAATGTTCGTCCCCTCTGACCACAAAAACTGGGATGAAGTATTACCATTCGTCATGTACGCCTTCAACACGGTGAAACACGAAACGACAGGCTACAGCCCTTTCTATCTGCTCTACGCTCACTCACCTCGACATACGCTGGACACTATCTTTCCTTTTGTCGTCCATGACGATTTAACAATTGTGGATACTTTGGGTCGTGCGGAAGAGACACGCTGACTTGCCTACTTACATACACTGGCAGCTCAAGATTCCTCCAAAACTCGCGACAACAGTCTACACCGGCGTGTAACCTATGCCCTCGGTGATCTAGTTTTGGTGTGGACCCCAATACGCAGACGTGGCTTAAGCCAAAAGCTACTGGCACACTACGCTGGTCCGTTCGTGATACTCCATCGTCTCAGCGAGGTCAACTATGAAATTGCACGTGTCACCACTAGTGGCCGATGTTCATGCAAGACAGAGGTGACGCATGTTGTCCGCCTAAAGCCGTTTACACGAAGGATACAAGAATGACTTGCCCAGAGGGCTTCATCTGAGAGAGGAGGAATGATACGAAGTGTCACTACCAGGAGAAACAAGGGAAGCGCGGGTAGAGAAAAAAGATGGCGTTGCTTCTACGGCGATCCCCCTGAGTGGGTACGAGCCATGGCTGTAAAATGATCGTCATTATCATACTGTGATCGTGGACTCGGGGCCCATTAAAAACCCCCCTTAAGGTACCTTACCTTGTGTAACAACATTATGAAATTTCTTTGTCTCGAATTATTTTGCATTTATAATTGTATTTATTGCACTGTTTACTAGCTGGCAACCAAAAATTATACTTTTCACATTTTTGTTCATTCTAAAATATTTTTGTGTCTCTACAACATATATTTTTGGAAAGAGGATTTCATTGTGCAACATTTGCTATGCTGCAATGCGGGCTGGCAAAAACTTCAAATGGGCAAAAACTATCTTCCCTAGACAATACGGAAAATATTCATTTACATGCAGATAGGAAAGAGTTAAATTGAAACACAGACAGGCAGGCGCAGGACTAGCACTGCTTGTCTGTTTCATTTTTTTCTGTTTTAACTGTGGATACACACCTACTGACTTGAATTAGAATTAAGTGTTTTTTTCATGTAGTGTAGAATATGCAACTAGCCCACTCTTGCAGCTCACCTAGGTGGGTAAATACCAGCTTGAAGTCGTGAAAGCACTCAAGATGACTGAAAACACACAGAAACAGCTGTTTCCATCTGTTTTCGTTGTGCCATTTTCATAATGATGAATTCGTGCCAACTCTACCAATGGACCACTACCAGTGTTGGGTTACGCTGTTTATATTCTTTTCACTTTTTAGAGCATGGTAACTGCATGAGAAGGTCGCTACGTGTAGGTAGATTATAATTCCCTTAGTAACTTTGCCTTTTCTGAATCTGCCAATATACAGCAGTAGTTAGATTATACATCCGCGGTTACGGGACAACCTTCTTGTTACGACGAATTACAGTGCAGTCCACTTATAACGATATCGAGAAAACCTAAAAATATGATCGTTATAACCGGTGATCGTTATATCTGGACTGCCGCCAAAAAATCGTCGCCGGACGTACCTTTTGTAGCTCCAGGCTTCATTTCGCTATTTTCACCAATTAATAAATATTGTAGATAGTAGGATGTCAAAAACAGGACTTTATTTCTTACTCCGAAGAACGCATCACGGGTTCGCTGAGGAAGAGAGACTGACCGACGGCGGGGTGGGAGCAGTGGGAGGAAGAAAGCACAGCCAGAGGTACACAGCCGGAATGCCAACGAGGCCCCGCCCCGATGCCGCCGCGCCGCTTTGCTTTTCGCTTTTTTTATTTTCTCTCTCTTTCCCGCTTTCGTTCGGCAAGCTACGAGTAGCTTGCCGGCTTGCCGCTGTAGAAGGCGGGGAGCCGCGGAGCGCGGCGCTTTGCTTTTCGCATTTTTTTTTTTAAATTCTCTCAGCCTCTCCGCGGTCGACGCGCAGCGAGGCGCAAAACGTGACACAGCTGGCGCCATCTGTAGCGCGTCGCGCCAACTCGCGATGCTATCCTCGGCTTTCTGAACGGCCGGGACGCGCTGCCGGCGCTGTGCTGCAGTGGCGGCAAATACGTACTCGCCTACGCTAACTTTTCGTCTTGTCTCGGCATAGTTCGTTTCAGAGGAATTTATCAATCTAAATGTTACGATTATTCTGAATGAACCATGCCGTCCACGGCAAACTTTTCATCGTTGTATCCGATATGCGGTGGATAACATATCGTTATATATGGTTTTTTTCCCCATAGCCCCAATGCATAAAATGAGACTGCTAAGTCGACCCATCGTTATAACCGATATATCGTTATATGTGGTATCGTTATAAGTGGACTGCACTGTAGTTTGGTCCCGGCAAAATCCCCATAGAGATACTGTATTGAAAACCTTTATTATACGACACAGATTTACTTTAGCCCCGCATCTTGGAACGACTTTCCGATTCCGTCCAAAGTGAAAAACCACCTTTAGCCAACTCATGTGACCCTCCCGCTCGCAACCTCCCTGAAATGGCCGACGAAAGAGCTCAGATGACATTGTTCTGGTTTGCTACCGTCTGCTATTGCGACATATTTGATTGGCTGTCGTCACAAACGTCTCAGCATCACAAAGCGTTTTCTGGCTCTGCTATGTCAGCAGTTATAGTGTACAAGCATCCTCATTTCTTCTTATGCTTGCTAATATTTCCCTGATTTAATGGTTGAAAAATCATGGTGGGGTCATTATTGAAGTATTGTTTATAGAGTAAACTTAGTGGCAAGTGTAGTGAGTGTCATGCCTCTTTTGTTCCCTTTGCCCTCGTTGAAAGTTTGCTACTGGATCATATGGTATAATGTTTCTCTTTGGCAAATCTCGTAGGATGAAATGGATATACAGATGTGTAAAAAGGTATATGGACGTACCTTTCTGGGTGGCCACATTTGTGTGGATTCATGCAAAATCTTTGGCCGATGCACTAATGACATGCAGGTCTGATGGCTGCTTGCGTGACAAGAAGCAGGGGGTGGTGCAACATCCTGGTAACTTGATGTGTGCAGACAGTGGCAGCAGTGATGCCAGCGCACCCTTAGCCCAATGGGTGCCTCGACTGTGGCCCTTTCTGGGCCATAATGCGATTGCCGTGCGACTGTCCGTGCTGCGTTCGCTCCTCATTCTTTGCTCAGACAAGGGAGCACCACTGGTGGGTAATGCTGTTTTTGTTGTTTTTGTTTTTAGAGCATGGTAACTGCACGAGAAGGTCACTACATTTAGGTATATTGCCTTAGCGACGTTGCCTTTTCTGAATCTACCCATATACAGCGAAACTTGGATTATACGTCCCCGGTTACGCGATGACCTGCTTGTTACGACGGATCAGTTTGTTCTTGACAAAATCCCCGTAGAGATAGTGCATTAGAAAACTTTGGTATACGATGCAGTTTTATGCCAACCCGGCATCTAGCCACGCCTTTTCGATTCCGTCCAAAGTAAAGAACCACCTTTAGTCACATCAAACGTTGACCAAATACTCACGAAAGCAAAATATGAACTTGCACTCCCCTCGATTGGTGATTAAAAAAGTAAAAATTTAAACAGGATGTTATCTCAGCAGCATAAAGGGGGCTTAGCAACGCAAACGACAGGGCAGGAGGGGACAGGAGAAGAGACGAGACAGAGCACTGAACTGCCAACAATTTATTTCTTGTGAAGGTATTCACTTTTATACAGTTACCAGTCGCACTAGTCATGCGCGAAACACGATGACAATGCATAAGTACATCACACTGACAAGTAAAGGAACAACTTTTCCTTATTGGTGAGCGCGACAGAAGGTGTGCTAACACAAGCATCTTTCAATGAGCAAATCTTTTCTGCCTCTATAATCTCGCGTGTGGTGCGATCCCTGTATCTAGAAACAATAGAACACTCTGAAAATATTGGCCGGGAGCCACACGTGCTGCAGTGAACGGACAGCCATGCTTGTTTATAGTGATCCACATATGTTCCCTCAGCCTCTCATTTATACAACGACCTGTTTGACCAACGTAATACCTTCCACACGATAACAGCAGCTGATACACCACAATACAGATGCAATCTCTGAATTTATTTGCATGTTTTGTTGTGCAACCGAGGCTAGGTCTGGATGGAGGAACGGACAGCTTGCACAGGCGACTCAATTTTTGAGAGGCCGTAAAGACCACCTTCATGTTAACTCGCTGTGCCACTTTCTTAAGATTGTGCGCTATCTTGTGCATATATGGAACCTTATTTATTTATTTCTTGTGAATACCTTCACAAGAAATAAATTGTTGGCAGTTCAGCGCTCTGTCTCGTCCCTTCTCCTGTCCCCTCCTGCCCTGTCGTTTGCGCTGGAAGCACCCTTTATGATGTTATACCAACACGCCCAATCCCACTGTCTCTTGAGTTTATCTTAGCAGGAAAAATTTATTCTCCTGGCAGTTCATGCACTTCTGCATACACCTCGATACTTAGGATTGTTACCTAGAGAAGCTCTGTCCAGATAGCTTTAGCTGGCCAAAAGGCTCATTTCTCAGCTCCTGATGTTTTCATATTTTCGGTCTGTGTAAACTCTTTGTGATCGCTGAATAGCTGATCTCCTAAGTTTGTTTGTGGCACTCACGGTCACGAGCTTAAGCATGTAAAAGGGCGAGATGCAGCTATTTTCACCGTGCAAAATAACAGTAACTTGACGTCAATGTTAATTATAACAGTGCGACATCACTAGTTGTGTTTCATAAGGCAACAAATTATAATAGCTTAGTTTAGCACGAAGGCATTTAACGCAACCTCGTAAACTCGTGGTTCAACGCTAAACTCATTGTTCGTCACCATTATGTGATGGTGATGACACTGTGTGTAACTCTTCGGACAGGAACATCTTGGCAACGCCTGTTCGGTTTTCTTTTTACGGGGAGGCACTTTTCAGATTCAATTTATCAGGAGAAAGAAGCACGGTGGATTCGATTTTTAAAGTTGAAAATAAAAATTCTCTCACGCCTACTTTAGCTAAGTAATGCTGCCATTGGCAAGAATAATTTAATCTATCTTCCTTGGATAAGCACAAAGTCTTGTCGTGGGCTTATTCAGGTGGTATGTACCCGTTTTTTGTGCTGTGTTAAGTTGCACTGTCTGTATTCTTAGTTTATCGATTACACGACACCCGGATTATACAATGGCACGATAACTGTCTCTCATGTGAGAACACTTCAACCGATGCACTCTCGGGGGAACAGGCAATGTAGGTACAGTGAGAGTGAAGGAAAAAACGTAAGGTAAATTAAAAAAATATATGAAAGGACAGAAAAAAAACTATGCGAAAAAAATAAACCCGCGTGATGGGGATGGGAGGAAAAACACCCAGAAAGGCACTTGGCAAAAGGGCAAAGCCGCTTTGGGAGAGGATACCATGGACATAGCTCGGCACACTCACTAATGAGTGCACTCACTCACACTTACTCATACTCATTTGAATGTGGTGATTGTGAGTATGAGTGAGTATTCGTGAGTGTAAGTAGGAGTGAGTATGAACATGAGTGAGTATTCATGAGTGTGAGTTGGAGTGAGTGTTCGTGAGTGTGAGTAGGAGTGAGTATGAGCCTGAGTGAGTATTCATGAGCGTGAGTGAGTATTCATGAGTGTGAGTAGGAGCGAGTATAAATGTGAGTGAGGACGGATGAGTGTGAGCAGGAGTTAGTATGAACGTGAGTGAGTACTCCGAAGGTGAGTAGAAGGGAGTATGAAAGTGAAAGTGAGTGAGTATTCATGAGTGTGAATAGGAGTAAGCATGAGTGAGTATTTGTGAGTGTGAGTAGGAGTATGAACATGAGTGAGTACTCTGACTGTGAGTAAGAGTGAGTATGAATCAGTGACTACTCCAAGGGTGAGTAGAAGTATGAAAGTGAGTGAGTTCTTCGAGTGTGAGTAGGAGTGAATATGAATGAGTGAGTACTCATGAGTTTGAGTAATAGCGAGCATGAACACGTGAGCACTCCAAGTGTGAGTAGAAGTGAGTATGAACGTGGGTGAATACTCTGTGAGTAGAAAAGAGTATGAACGTGACTACTGATGAGTGTGAGTAATAGTGAGCATGAACATGAGTGAGTACTCATAAGTGTGTGTGTAGGAATGAGTATGAACTTGAGTGAGTACTCATGAGTATCAATAGAAGTGAGTATCAATGTGAGTCAGTTCTCTGAGTGTGAGTAATGTTAGCATGAACGTGAGTGAGTAGTCCGACTGTGAGAAGTGAGCATCACCATGTGTGAGCTATGTGCTATTACAGCACCATAACGAAAAATGCTCATGGAATACAAGGATAAAGAGCTCATTTCGCCTAGACTCAGGCGTCGGCGTATTTGGTTGTGAGCATAAAATTATCGTCATTATCGTTTGCATTTTCTCAAAAAATTGAGAAAAATGCAAATAAAATGAAATATAAAAATTCTGGGTTCGATTGGGGATCGAACTTGGGTCATTTGTGTGGCAAGCAGGTGTTCAACCACACAGTCACGCGTCCGCTTGTGATTGCAGTGAAAATAAATTCCTCTGCTTGGAAATGCAGTGAAGGCAACATTCATGTTTTAGAAACACCCGCGTCCTGTATACATGCTTCACAATATAACGTGAAATATGGCAGTGATAATGCGTGGTACAAGCATACATTACCATTGGGCGTCAGAACATAGGATTATATAATGACTTCTTAGTTTAAATTTAAAGCCAGTCATCCACTACAAAAGGCACACACGTTACGCACCTGTTTTCTTAAGGCCACGTAGTGGGTGCACAGCAAGTTCGAAAAGATTTCATGCACTAAGCGTTTGAAGTATGCACTAAAGGCAGCTAAGGAAGGTCTCAGCTGGTAGTTTTTAGTGTTGTTCGACGCTTGGAAGACTTCTTTCTTGTTTTTCTCGCAATTTCATCTTGACCTATTTTTTTATTCCATGAGAAGTCATAACTTTTAAATGATCCAGTATTTTTCAATAAAACTTCACATGCTTCCTTATGGACCACTAATCTTTGCAATGAACTACAATAATCGAAAACCACTAACAAGTTTTGATATGCTGAGGTTTCAACTGGGGCGCAACCATCTGAAACTACAGAATTTTTGTTTTTTTGGCCATAGTACGCTCACATTTGATGACAGCACAAAGATTTTAGTTCACAGCTTTACTGTACATCTAGATTTCTGCCAAACAATTTTCATTTTGTATCAAGGGATCAGTACTTATTCTTTGTGTGGGGGTCATATTTTGGGTAATTTTCATAATTAAATTGTGATTAGTTGCACTTTTTTGCCCAACATTGTGGAAGTGTGTTTTTGAATAACCCTTTCTAAGACAAACACGAGGCAATCAGTTCTGGGTCAAACTCTAAGAAGATTTATAGAAATATGGGAACATACTTTAAAAAATACATATTGCCACAGCTTGACTATCGCAGAAGACGTGTGCCACAATTAGCGTTCGCAAAAGCGGCCACGCAAGTAGCAAGAAAGCCGCGCCATGGAACGCCATCCTGCACGCGCCACGATGCTACGCTACGGGACCGGCACGACACTTGAGTGGCAGATGAAGAGACCGACGAAGTTCAAGTCAGCGAGCAAGAAACATTTTGGCTGACCATTTTTAGTTTTGAGTTTACGGGCACAAGTTCGCCCTAAATAAAGAGTTTATATAGTACCAGGCGCTATATTTATTCGTAACAATCTGGTGGAGGAGCTGGGTATGATTCCAAACCCACCACCGGCAAGGTAGAGAAGCCCAGATCCCAGAAGATTGGAGCCAGCAGAATTAACACCTGTGCACCAACGCACGAGTCGCCGACTACGAGGTGAGCGGCCCGAGTTTGGCCCCCTAATTGACCCATCAGGACCTGTCGAGACCTCAAGCACAAGCGCCACTGCGATGGCCACCCAGTCAATGCCATCTCCATCTCACCTCATTGTGGATTCACCACGTACACCAGAGGTCTTCCACGGTGAGACCTTTGAAGACGCCGAGGACTGGCTTGAAGGCTTCGAGCGCGTTGCACGTTTGAAAGGTTGGGACGAAACCCGTAAACTTCGTCGCCCTGCAAGATTCGGCACGTACGTGGTTTGAGAACCACGAAGCGTCTTTGCTGTCGTGGGATGACTTCCGACAAGAGCTAATCACAACCTGTCCGAACACTGAC